AGTATACTTCTCTGTGCCCCTCGAGCTCTAACTTGTCCTGTACTACTCCGCGATCTACTACTGCTCCAAGGATTGCCTGTTTGAGAGAAAAGGCTTGTACGGAATCAATCGTGTATTTGAAGAAAATTTATCATATCTATCAGGGTAATTTCACCGCCAATGACCGCGCCTGCCACAGTGGAAACATACATTTGTGTTTTTCTTCCGTCTAAGACTTGATTTAAGCGGTGCCACCTACTCTGTCAGTCTATCCAATGTGGCCTTCACCGCTTCCGGTAGCTCATCATTATAGACTTCATGCGTTCGTACCGTAGCAACTTCCTGATCGGTGAACTGCCTCACAACTTCGGCTAGCATCATTACATCTATGGTACGCGCCACATTGATGAGTCTCACTTTGTCGCGTATGTATTCCGGGAGGCTCTCTGTGAAACGGTCGAGGAGTAGTTCCGAGCCCGCATTTTCATCCAATATCGGTAGTGCGCGATTCAATAGGCCGCACAGGGTCACGGCATGCAAAAGTGGGTCCGCACCAACTCCGAGCTGCGCCTTCTTGAAGCGCCGAAATGCCTCCTGGCGGTCAGCCGGGGTGTCAAAACCCGCAATCAAGGCGTCCTGTGCGACGGCCCACTCGATTTTCTCCGGGTGTCTTCGTGCTACCTCCAATACTGCCCGTGCACGGCCCCTGAGAAGCACTCGGAGGGCCATCAACTTTCCGCGGTCCGTCCGTATTCCGACCAGCTCTGCCACATCCTCCAGGAAAAGCCGCACGTCTCCATCCTCGAACGCCGCTGGCCATGGAACCTTCATTCTGATCCTGGCAACGGCACCAGTTGTTATAAGACGGTGCCGGTCGAGGATAGTTATTTATTGCCAATAGCGTTCTACATATGGTCAAATTGTCCTTCGTACAACAAAATATCTCATTTGGAACAAGGTTGCGGAATTCCCACACNCACGCACACAGGACAGTTAATGGAACGATTCGCTATTAGATGCGCATTCATGTATTCACCATACCGAACATCAGCAGTTTGCTCCAACAGATCATGTGGATTTTTGGTCGTTGAAAGAAACCGCTGGTCCCATCTTTTGCGTATTACTCACAAGTGAGTAATATCTCATACTACTACTACTACTACTACGACCACGACTACTACTAGACCTCATTGACACATTCGGTAGGGGAATTCGCTAACTGATTATAGTTAGGGAATTCAATCAAGAACAGTATGAGAACGAGGGAGATGGTCAAGAAGCACATAAATTCATGAACTACTCTTACACGGTAGCCCTATATCAGCATGTGAGAGAACCAACGCGCATCCGCCTAGGGCACAGGCCGTCCATCTTAAATACGGTCCTCACACGGCAGGCGAGTGANCCCCCCCCCCCCCCCAGAAGGTGCCGTTATTTCGGGCGAATGAATGTGAAGAACTTGAGGTACGATGTCCAAGCCACAGCATGAGTCTGTAATGCAAAAGCTACTATGTATACCAATAATAATGAAATGAAAGGTACGTAGAACGGACTCACAGAAATATTGTCCGGTTGGTTGATAAAACCTGTTCCCCAGAAGTATGACTGCGGTTGATAATGAGCGGTGGAGCTGAAAAGGATTGCTGCGACAGTTAACTGACTGCTTGACGATATCTGATGATGTACGCGTAATGCTTCAGCAACACTCGGAGAACACCTGCGTAGTCAAAAACAGAGTTTTGTATTGTGTTATAAATTATTGTGCGTATTAAAACAAGCTGTACAATAATTTCATATAAAACTAGATAGAAAAGTAAGACACTACAAGTCCCGCAGGGAATGGAATCAGCCGCTTACCGAAGGGGGAGATAATCTGGGGCCAGCCATGCCCTTTTGAGACCTCCAGCAACTATGCTCACCCCTTCCATAACCGCCTTCTACTAGGAGTATCTAAGGTTTTAGAGAGTACTCAGGGACTGGACGACCGCTTTTTTGGGAGCCATCCGCAAGGGTGGGGATAGGAAAGGGGGAGGGGTATAGGAAGGAAGAGATCTGGTCCACGGTCCCGTAATTTTGATCGGCGTGCTGTGTGAGGGTTTGGAGACCATTGTTAGGAATAAACTACCGTCATCACTGCTGGACTGTAGGACAGGCGATGAGTTCAAAGATAACTGGATGGGGTCTGTATCAGGCTATAACCGGAAATCCTCGGGAGTGCCCACCGTTAACAGTAGGCTTTCCATGTTTCCTATTTTCTTAAACCTCTCTCTGCAGATACGGATTCGAAAAAGGAGGTGATTCTGAAAGAAGAAACCGACTTTGGCCAAACGGCTAAGCTCCAAGCTCCAACAGAACCTTGGTTCTGATTGGAGCAAGAATCTGGATGCTCGGTTGACGAAAGTGTTAAACGTTCTGCACAACCTGATCTGATCCTACCTGCATCTCACACTGCTCGTACCAGACGAAATTCACCATATTTTCAAAAAGACATCCATTTCTAGTCTCATGCAAACTGTGGTGGATTAGACATTTAATGAGCCACTGAAAAAAGACTTGTTCACGAAAATAAAGTTTGTTTATTTGATAACACCTAAAATGACGGACATTGAGGGAAGTTGTCTTATTGTTGTCATATTGCTGTCCACTTCACCCTGTTCCCGTGACGATTGGCGGGATTGTTCACCATTGTTTTATCCTTTTCATTCCCCATTATAACTTTTTCCTTGCACTCTTCAATACCTTGAGGGGGACCAAGAACAAGGAGTGCTTTGTGTGTGTTTGAGTGTATGTGTGTGAAGTAAAAAGAGCAGAAGAGAGAGCACACGGGTGAGTACGCCCGGGCTGTTATACAAATCGAAGCGCACGAATGTGTGTCAAACAAGCGAGTTTGACTTCAAACAAATACCCGAGATGAGCATTCCATTGCACGTGAAACTCATTTGAAAACATACATACGTGAAATACGTTATTGCGAATCTTGTCTCAAGTCGGTGAAATTAAATTATTCTTACACTGGCATAACTCATTCTGATTGATCATGGCATTGCTTCTTATCATGGTTGCGTAATCCCAAATAGAATTGTTTTCCAACTTTGCCCGTGTACTACGCTGCAATTTACAATCCTCTGCTAAGAGCGAGAATGAGCATATCGCGTTTCTGAACGTTCTACTATAACGCTTATCAGACGAAACTATCCAGCGCGCCATCCACAGAAGGCCATCGTGGAATAGTCAGTATATCCATTTCAAAACCTACGTTCCATTGGAATTGAAAAGAAACCTGATTTAGTGCCTAACTACCAGACGGCGAATATATGCGCTGATGATACAGTTCAGAGCAATCTGATGTTTAAACGGGGGATTTCTTTCACAATGGATACCCAAAACAATTCGTGGACAACATTTTGAGGCGTTATCAGGTGCCATATAAGATCACTACCGTTGAGCCAAAACTGGTTTACATGCCTTACCCTTTAAGAGCTACACAAATGCCGATATGGTGGCAGGTAAACTGAGTACAGCAAAACTTCGTATTGCATTCATCTCTAGGCCACTTTGGCTTTTCAACTCAAAGATAAATAGCCTGTTTCTGCAGTCCATTTATGTGTGTAGTTGTTTACTTAGTTCTGCATATTGACTTCATAGGCTATAAAGATTCACGTAGAGTGACGCTCAAAAACCTGGAAGGCGGTGTCTTTCAATAAATGGGTTTCTTCCACAAAAACGGTACTGAGATACGGATTACTACGGTGTAAAATATTCAAATTTGCGAATCTCAAACTGTGGCACTATCCGGTTTAACAAACGCCGGGAGCTGTGAAGCCAGTAATTCGACAAGCAAGATCCCAATGAAACGAGTAAACCGAACAATGTCAAACAGGATCACATGAATCTGTGGTAGTCAATGCTGCGAGGTGACCTAGAGGGAACCAATCGAAATACAGTGGGTGTGAATGTTAGTCATCAGGGTTCGTCGTGATATAACAGGGCGGTAAACCTGTGTGTGTGTACACAGGTCTCAAGGTCAGTCGATCATGGCCACAGATCCCTGAAACAGGTTAGACCAACATAAAATGCAACGTAGAGGAGCAAACATATTAATGGTGCGTACGTATGTGTAAACGGCATGGAGAGCAGTCATAGGCACAAAGTACGAGCAACATGTGGTCATGGAGCTGGAATGTTCATTATTTTTCTTCCCATGTTGTCATGTTTTATCCTCTCTATTAAAATTTTTTGACATAAATTGTGATGCAGTAGCCTGTAGATGAATCACCGCAAACGACCTTGTTCTCTACTGTCTTCTTACAATGGTTAATTTAAGTTTTCCAGATTACGGAAAATCACCCCGTAATGATGTTTCAATTGGGAGATCGGTCGCCTCGGTGAGATTTGAACCCACAGACCTACAACTTTCTACAGTACGCGCAATACCGGCGGAGCTATGAAGCTACCAGTCGTTTCACTAATTGAAGGTTAGATGGTTGTCTCCTTTAGTCTGCCAAGCAACCTACTCTGAAGAAACAACCCAGCTTCAGAACCTCATTCGGTGGAATTCGGTGAACTGTAAGAAAATCCTGCCATATCACACAACTTACATACCAAGTGATTGATTCCATATACCACTATATATATACATATATATATATTTGTTTACGTTTTTTATGATTGAATACTGATATATATATATATATATATATATATATATATATATATATATATATATA